ACTCCAACGAAACAGTTTGCCACAGCCCCTCGTTTGTTGTCCTCTTCTCCCTCTCTGCCTACGGTTTACCGGGCAGCTCTGTTTGACTATATATAAATATATATGCATATTTATGTTGCTGCTTACGTTGCACCGCGCAGTTCAATGACTATATAGATCGTTAAAAAAAAAAAAAAAAAAAAAAAAAAAAAAAAAAAAAAAAAAAAAAAAAAACCTGCCCGGTTAATGGTAGGCAGAGATGGAGAAGAAGGCAACAAACGAGGGGCTGTGACTAAATAGAATAAGAAATGCATATTTGATATGATAATATGAATAACTGCTTCTCTATGAAACGATTGTGGGGCGAGGCTTTCTGTCATTTCGCATACAAGCAGTGTCTATAACTGTGTTTACGACCAGGTTCTTGTGAACAACTGTGGGATGGTAACAAGGATCTTGGGATCGAATCCCACTAGCGAAATGCACGAAGCCTATGATCTATTTCATTGCCTAGAAACCTTGTGCTCTGGCTATCTAACCGTGTTCATGACCCGGTTTCGCCAGAATTTATAGCGGGGAAAGCGGCGGGAAGGCTGCAAAGCACGGGGCGTAGATGAGCAGGACAGAGGAAGGGTAGAGGTGCTAGAAGGATCGAAGGAGGCAAGTCGGATGATCTGCCTGATTGGGGTGGTCGTCCAGGTGGAGTGCGCTCTCGCCACCATCACATTGCCCCCACCATCCCAATCAGACAGCCAATTGTTCGCAGGGAAAGGAGAAGGGGGGGGATCGGAGTTCGCATAGAAGGAAGTCGAAGAGACATGCAGGATGGGGATGCGCAACAAGAAAGGAAGATGGTGTGGGGATGCAGAGCGGGAGGACGGGTTTACACGGCGCGCAAAAATTTGAAAAACAGCCGCGCCCGCAAACATTCACAATTCCTACTCCCGCAAATTCCCAACTGCTTCTTGAATTTCTTGGCACGACCGCTAACCGGCCACGCGAGGCCCAAATTGCATTTTCCGTCCCTCTTTTCATAATGGAAAGAGAAAGAAAAAGAAATGAAGCCCCATTTTTCCCTATTATCTTGAATCCGTACTTCGGGGCTTTACATGGGATTTTCCCTTAAGGATACGTGTTATGACCGTGGCCAATTTCGAGATACACATCCACCGGAAAGTACAATGCCATCCAATTGCAGAAAGAAATGAATGAACTTGAGAAGAGAGAGAGGATTAGAAGAAGAAGAAGAAGTAAGAAAGAAGAAGAAGAAGATGTACACCAGCAAAGACAATGACAAGGCTCTTCTTCTTCGCCCAACAACCTCCTCCTCCTTATCTCCCTCTTCCCTTATTCATACAAGAAATAATAATACAATGACTACTAGGCCTTGCCCAGACGCCCAAAGAACAACCCAAAGCAGCTAGGGCTGCTCTAGCTCAGCCGCCATGCCCAACCCTGCCTTGAAGCTTCTTGGTGTGGCTCTCCCCGGCTGGGGACTCCTTGCTGCAGCGCCCACCAAGGAGATGAAGATGGCTGCCACGATAGCCAGGTAAGTACTCCTGGCGCTCCTCCCCCCTTCCTTCCTCCTTCCTCCTTCATGTCCTTCTCCTTCCTCCCCCAGCAGCGCTGCTCCAGCTTAGCCCTGCTCCAGCCAGCCCTCCACCAGTGTGTTGCCAAACTTGCACACCGAAAAAGAGGCCGGGTCTTCCGCCCGGCCTGAAGATATAGCGGCCTGCTTTGCCTCTGGGGCGGTGACTTTCAGGCCGCTGGCCTTCCCAAGCAACGGGTACGTCCTCCTCTTTTGGAGGGAAACATCATTGCAGACTCTGATATTGCCCCTACAGGCCCTAGACGCAGACTGGTACGCGCTAGACCTAGCCTACACTACCGGCCTCTAAAAATGCCACTTTTGTCTTCTTCTGCTCGGCCTCCGGTACCTGCATATTTACCCCCGTGCCGGGTGCGGTACCGGCCTACCCGCTACTTGAGTGCTTTTTCCCCGTTGCAACCCTTCAAAGCCACGGCCACAGGTAATTACCGGCCCTGAGGGCCCAACGAACGAACAAGTGCCCTAGCGGGCCACACAGACACACTCGTACCAGCCAGCACACAGACAGGCACAGTCACACGGACGCAAGCCTACCAGCACTCAGACAGACATGCAGTCCAGCAAACACACACACACAGACTTAGCAGGCGGGAACTCAGTAGGGCAATCGTGATCGGTAGTGACGTCGCGATATGGAGCGGCAGAACAGTGACGTAGGGGGAGCTAAGTGACTTGGCAGTCGGGATCAGGAGCTACGTGTCGTGTCAATATGGATCCGCAGGTAAGTGACGTGGCAGTCGGGATCGGCAGCTAAGTGACGTGGCAATACGGATCGGCAGATAAGTGGCGTGGCAATAGGATCGGGAGTTAAGTGACCTGGCAGTCGGCATCGGGAGCGCAGTGAGGTGGCAATACGGATCGGGAGCGCAGTGACGTGGCAATCTGGATAGGCAGATAGGTGACGTGGCAATCGGATTGGGAGCTAAGTGACGTGGCAGTCGGGAGTGGGAGCTAAGTGACGTGGCCGTCGGGATCCGGAGGTAAGGGACGTGGCACACATGGATCGACATAGGTGGCGTGGCAATCGGATCGGGAGCGAAGTGACGTGGCAATATGGGTCGGGAGATAAGTGACGTGGCAATCGGCCTTGGAAGAGAAGTGACGTTGCAATCCGATGACGGGGCAATCCGGTGACGTGGCAATCGGAAGATAACTGACCTGGCAACGTGGAGAAAACGTGTTGAGCGCTCTCTGAGGAGGTGAAGTTCAACTTTCCTGTTTTAGGCCGTGCTCTCACGCTTGGGCTTTTCTTGGAATGAATCTGGCCATGATCTGTGGTATGTTACAGCCCTGTCGACGACAAGTCTCACCGTATCTGGCTTGTGTAGGAAATAACGTATGAAGTTGTGAGCGCTGTCGGTATCATGATTTTCTTTGTTTTTTTGGGCCGGACTGAATCTGGACGCCATTACGGGTGATCATGTTTTTTTTTGGTTTTTTGCCCGGATGAATCTGGACGCCATTGCGGTCAGATACGTCGTCGTCGTGAAAAGCTCTCTCCCGAACTGTTTTGGTTACGAAATGATGTAGGAAGCTTTGGGCGACCTCGTGATCTTTCCCTTTTTTTTTTTCTTTTTTTTTTTTTTTCGTTTTTTTCCCATGTATCTAACTGAAATAAATGACCAGGTTCTGTCTCTGACCTGGTCAAATCTGCATCTTTTGCTTTCGGAACTTGGGAAACGTGCACCTATGGATCTCATGATGGGAAGCATGGATTCTCTTTTTTTCTTTTTCTTGTCTTTTTCCTTTTTTTTTTCTTTTCTTTTCTTTTCTTTTGTTTCCCTTCTTTTTTTTCTTTTTTTCCCCCCTTCGTTTCTGGGTTACTTGATTGGAAGCATTGATGCGTTTTTGTTTCTTTTTGGTTTTGCTTTTTTTCCTTTCTCGGGGAAAGTGACGAGGAGCGCAAGTGGTTGATCCTCGTTGTAAGGAAATCTCTCTCTCTCTCTC